ATATTCAGTCCACTTGAGAGGTGCAGAATATAAATCATCTCCTTTATCAGGAAGTTTCCCCGGAACCTTATTCAAGCACATTCAATTAAAGTTTTCAAGACTTTCCAAGATTTGATGATTTACTGAAAAACAATGACGACAAGAAAATGTGTTTTATCCACAATTTCTTTAAAGATTCTGCTTTAGAATAATCAGAAAAGTGCTTGATGGAATTAATTCTGGCAGATAAATAACAAATCTGTTATTTTGCTTCCTGGCCTCATGCATGTTACTGAGCTAGGACCAGTTTCAACAACTCTTAAAACCTTATAAATGAAAACATTCAAGCAATTTCAAGGATTTCAGAACTGCAATAATAATTTTACGGTAGCTTGAATATTAAATGTCCCTCCTATCATTTAAACAAACTCAAACTTTAGATATATTGGACACATTAATAACCCAGCTTTAAATTAAATAATCGAGGAGCAAAAGACTCAATCAAGTTTGTGGAGTAGTGATTTCTATTTATGTAATTTTTAATGGTGAAGTGGGTCAGAATTGAGAAATCTTGCTTTGAACATGACGGTCATCACCAGTATCATGCACAAACAAAGTCCTATGTTCATATCCCCGACAAGCCCCCAATTTTTAGGGTAGAGCGGGCAGCAGAGGGCGACAACGTCCTCTGCTGCCCGCGGATAAACGGAGAAGGAAGTGACGCCACCATCAGCGTCAGCCTGAGGAAGTTTGCAGCCGCAAACAAAACGTAGCGGGAAAACAGGTAACAAAACTGTTCTGTGTTTTAAAAAAGAACTACAGCATGGAATTAGAAATACGACACAGCAAGAACAAACCTAAGATGTTCAAAGAGAAATACGGACAACAAGGAACGAAGGATTTCTGCCATTTGGAGCGATTACACCAGAAACGCGCACGTCTAAGAAACCATCTTCGCTTCTGTTTAAGATGCCGGGACGAAAACATCACACCCACAAGCCTACAGCTGAAAACACCGATCCGGACCAAGACGGCACAAAATATAATAGAAAGAGCACAGAGAGCACTGCTCAAGGAGAGGATAAGAAACGTCATAACCAAACAGAAGCAAGTAGAAGACAAACTGGAAAGGAGACACCTGGACTTAAAAAGGAATTACAAACTTGTTAAAACAAATGGATAAACTAATTAAAGGACACATGATGGAAAAACAGGAAAAAGAGTTCACAAAAGTAAAAGAAAGACACATAAAGAAGTTAAACAAACTCATAAACAAGAAAAAGAGAAAAGAATTACAAGATAACACCACACCAAACTCATGGGTATGTAACATTTCACAATACGAACTAACAGAAGCAGAAGAAAGCATATCAAAGAAAGGTTTAAACTTTGCAGTCACACCAAAAGAAATACCATATGATGAATTTATTGTAGCAACAGAACTAGCATGTCAACAGATCACAGATGAGGGAAAGAAAGCAGAACTCAGAAATAACGTAGTTGGGATATTAAAAAACAGCCAAATTCAACACAGCAATATTACAAAAGAAGAACAATCAGCCATGACAGCTTTATCCAAAAATGAACAGATAATTATTCTACCGGCAGATAAAGGAAGAACCACAGTGGTTATGGACAGAGAAAAATATAAACAACAGATGAAACAGATGCTAGAGGACAAAAATACATATGAAATACTTAAAAAAGATCCAACAGAAAACATTAAGAAAAACATGAAAAAATTACTGAAGCCACTGCACGAAAAAGGCAAAATAACAGAAAAAATGTACAAACACTGGATTCCCACAGCAAACATAACACCAAGAATATATGGAACACCAAAAATACATAAACAGAACACCCCACTTAGACCAATAGTTGACAGCATAGGCACACCAACATACAACATGGCAAAAGATATCAGCAAAATCATCAGCCCGTTATTAGGAAATACAGACCAACACTGCAAAAATAGCATAGAATTGGCAAAAGAACTAAAGGAGATTACAATAGAAGACAACGACATACTCATCTCACATGACGTCACATCCCTGTTCACAAAAACACCAACCCAAAAAACCATAGACATAGTAGTTAACAGAATCAGACAGGACAAGACTTTACACAAAAGGACAAACCTCACAGCAGATGACATAGCACAACTGATAGAACTGGTAGCTAACTCCACTTACTTCACATACGACAACACAATATACAAACAACTGGAAGGCTTCGCCATGGGTAACCCGTTATCAGCCACCCTGTGCGAGTTTTTCATGGAAGACCTGGAACAAAAAGCCATAGCCACCGCCCCCCCAAACTGCAAAATAAAACTATGGAAACGCTACGTAGACGACATACTGGAAATCATACCAAAAGGTCAAACAGAAACACTAACACAACACTTAAACAATATTGACGACACGGGCAACATAAAATTCACTTATGAGTTAGAAACAGAAGGCAGCATAGCATTTATGGACATGAAAATCACCAGACAGACCGACGGGACCCTAAACATAAACACATACAGAAAACCAACACACACAGACCAATATCTATTATGGACATCAGAACACCCCACCATACACAAAATGTCAGTAATCAGAACATTATATCACCGAGCAAACATAATAACAGAAGAGAGAGACCGTAAACAAGAGGACAAACACATACAACATGCTTTAAAGACCTGCAGATACCCGACATGGGCAATAAACAAAGGAAAACAACAAACAAAAACAGAAAGAAAAGAACAACCTAAGCAAAGAACCAGAAACCCAGAAAGACAAGAACCAGAACCAGTGATAACCCTACCATACATCAAAGGCATAACAGAAAAAATAAGAGCAACAATGAAAAAACACAACAGAAACACACCAACAAAACCATACACAACAGTTAGAAACAGACTAGTGCACCCAAAAGACAAAATACCAGCTGGACTTAAATGTGGAGTCATTTACGAAATCCCATGCAAACTTTGCAATAGTCAAGTCAAGTCAAGTCAACTTTATTTATATAGCACTTTATAACAGCATAAAAGCTGACCAAAGTGTTTAACAAGACAAAACGAACAGAAGTTCCCTAAAAATTCTAAAAACAAGATAAAAAGTTCATCACAAGGTAAAAACATGATAAAACAAACATATCAAACTGACAAAAGCTACTAAAAACAGATGCATTCTCAAACTGAATTAAAAGCAACTGAGAACAGATGACTCTTTAAGAGTGATTTAAAATCCGACAGTGATGAAACCATCCTAATCTGAATCGGGAGTGCATTCCACAACTTTGGAGCTGCTACTGAGAAAGCTCTATCACCCCTGAGCTTTCTCTTTGTTCTCGGCACCTCCAGGAGAAACTGGTCGGCTGACCTCAGTGACCGAGATGGGGAGAAAGTTACTAAAAGCTCACACAGATACTGCGGAGCAAGGCCATGTACAGCTCTAAAAGCCAATAAAAGAACCTTGTACTGGACCCTAAAAACCACAGGCAGCCAGTGCAGCGAAGCTAAATTTGGGGTGATGTGCTCCCTCTTTCTCGAACCCGTCAATAAAACATACATAGGAGAAACCGGACGCCATCTCAACACACGAACAATAGAACATAGAAAGGAGTGTGAGAAAGAGGCAAATCGTAAACACACAAGAGCAGCAAAAGAAGAAGCAGAAAGTACAATAAAGAAGTCAGCCGTAACAGATCATTGCTTAAGAGAAAACCATATAATGGACTGGGACAGCACATGGATCATAAACACCGAACAACAAAAATACAAAAGATGGATCAAGGAAGCAATCGAGACAAGGAGACGTGGATGTGAGACCATGAACAGGGACGATGGAGTTTACACATTGGATCGTGCATGGGACTGCATCGTCGGAGAGGGGAGAGCAAGCAGCAGAGGGCGACAACGTCCTCTGCTGCCCGCGGATAAACGGAGAAGGAAGTGACGCCTCCATCAGCGTCAGCCTGAGGAAGTCTGCAGCCGCAAACGAAACGTAGCGGGAAAACAGGTGACAAAACTGTTCTGTGTTTTAAAAAAGAACTACAGCAAGGAAGCCCCCAATTTATACTTTCATCTGAACCAGAAGACAAATCTAGTTTTATTGTTGAAAACCGTCGTCTAAAACCCTCACCAATGAAAATGTGTTTTAATTCTCAACACTGAGTCAATGTTCACAGGATTTTTCAGGTGATGCAATAAAAATGAAGTAGGCTGTGGCACCAACACTACAAAAAACACAAAAGTAAATAAATCTTTTTTCTATTATTTTTTAAAAGACCAGAATTTTCGGGTAGAGGTAGAACTGGGCAATATGGACCAAAACTTATATCTCAGTATCTTTTAACAGAATTCCGATACACGACATACAATATATATCTATATTTTTTCTCCTGTATAATATTTTCAAGTTAACTCCCTTCAAGCTTTCCTTTGAAACTGTATACATAAATTCATCAGCTGATTAAATGCATGAAAATGTATTCAGTCTTACCAAACATATACCTTAGTGCCATTCTCCATAAGTCTGAGCTTTAGAATAACTGGTACAGCTGTCTGTTAACACACATGTAGGTTCACATCTCCATAGGTTTGCCTGGTATCACTGCTGCTTTCTGTACCTGTTTTCCTGACACAGGAGAGGGGTTTGGCCTATCTCTCTACACAAGCAGGATAAACAAAGCTCCGCCAGCTGCCAAGGCAAAAAGGCTCACTAAAATACGAATGAATGTCCCAAAAAGTTTAAACCATGAAACCAAATGCAACGATTAGGGCAGCGCAGATGCGTGAGAAAACATGTAATGACAGCTTAGAGATGGAGCAAGCTAGCAGTAGCTGCGGCGGCTATCTCTAGAAATACACTGATATAAACGATGCTGCATCTCGTTTCTTGTTTGAAATTATATTGATATTTAAAAAATATCAATACATCAGTATACAGTAATCAGGTAGAGGCACTGGTTGGCTTTAATTACCCTTCCTGGCGCAGCACCTGTATGAAGTAGGCTGGACTCACCGGCAGCTGCTTTTCCAAGCAGTTGTTGAAGTTTTTTACTTGGTTGGGCTTCAGCTTCTTGAGGGGAATTCGCGTTTCCCCGATGAACTCATTGTGGCGAAATTTGTCCTCATCACAAACTGAGATCCTAATTAGAAACAGAGGAAAGACAGAAATGAAGCTTAAAAATGCATAAAAGCAGTTGTTTTCCATCCAGACGCCATCACCCAGGGATTAAACTCTCACCAAAGATTTAACTTACAGCTAAAAGGCAAGTCACTCTGCAGGGAATGACGGGGACTAATGAGATAATTAAAAGTTAGGAAGCACTCAGTCATACACTTGATCAAAAGCCTCAAAAGGCCCAAATAAGAAGAAAAACTTTTAGATGACAAGCCAATTCGTTTGGCTAAAAATGACATTCCTGATTACATCAAAACCATTTAAAACTAAATTTTTATTTTGAACCACGGCCGCCTGGATTAGGTCATCTTGTTCAATGGCATCTATTTCAAGATCCTTCAGACACACAAATCCAAGTAGAAAGTAATTTTAGGATTTAAAACGTTAATATTCCTGACGAGGTTGGATATTTAATGGACTTTACAGATGTTTGAAATGTGTTAAAGACTTTCTGAATGACCTCTGAAGAATTATAGTTTGTCCTGCATTGATTGATAAGCCAACGGCTAGTCTCAGCAGAGTCGAGACAAAAGTATACTGTTGCCCTATTAAAGTAGCTTTAATTTTTAACATTACCAGTAATTTTGTGCTTTATTTATTAATAATTTCATCATTTCCATGGGATTCAAATTAAAACTATTATGTCTACACTGTTGTGCCCTTGGGCAAGACACTTAAACCGCCTTGCCTGCTGCTGGTGGTCCGAGGGACCGGTGGCATCTGTGCTCGGCAGCCTCACCTCTGTCAGTGCGCCCCAGGGCCGCTGTAGCTACGTAGCTCATCCCCACCAGTGTGTGAATGAGTGAATGACTGACTGTGTTGTGAAGCACCTTGGGGGGTTGTAGATCCCTAAGAAGGTGCTATAAAATTACAGGCCATTTACCATATACTATATGTCTACACTATATGTTTTTGATCTTTGGAAGAACAAAGGAGTATCCAAACAAAACCCTCACATGCATGAGATTTACATCCTAAATCCACACAGAAATAACACAGCTGGAATTTGAACCGAAAACCTTGCTGTGAGGCAACGGTGCTAACAACAAAGCCTGGACTTTCTGGGTCAAGTCCAGACTCTGTTAAAATTTCTTCCAAAATAACAATTTTCTATTATTAAAGGAGGCATAATATGACTTTTTTCTTAAGTCTATTGTCAATACCAAATGTCGTCATGAAATTCTTCGCATAAATTTCTCTCAGATAAAACAATTTAAGTCGTTTTATTCTTAACAGTTTCAGTGCCTTCCTGAATGAACTATCTGAGGAGTCGTTCACTTAAAAAACACAAGTTGTTGCTGGCCACGCCCACTCATCCCCCACTCAGGCTGCATTTGACCCTTTGCACCCACGTCACCTAATCACGTGGGTCGGGTCCATCATGGTGGACGGCAAAAGCGACACGATTACTAAACAAAGGGAAAAGTAGAGCCTGAAATTGTTTTTGTGATCAAAACAAAAACAAAACTCCTCCAGCATTCCTTCAACTAGTTCATGCCCAGTTCAGTTATCAGAAGAAGTAGCGCATCTAGCGGGGGCTCATAGAGAGCGGTATGCTAACTAGCTTACCAACGTTAGCAAACGTTCTCTCTGCAGCTGTTCACCGATGTAAACATGTTGCTGACTTTGCCTAAATTCACCCCTCTGGATTTATAACTTTATGTTGTAAACAGCGTTTCACTTTACACCAAAGCTGATTGTTAAAAAGTCCGGATCCCTACCAGCTTCTGTTGCTGCTGGTGTTACCGGGTTCAGCTGCTGCTCTCACACCAGAATGAGAAGATCTCTGAACGCGGTCGCTCATATAAATTAATAACATCATTTTAACACACGTAATCATACATCGGAGCTTTAATATTGTTAATAATTGTCTCGCTGTACACTACAGTGGACAGAGCGCAGCCTCCGTGGTGAAATACCCATCCATCAGGATTATCAATAACTTGTATAAACACATCACATTTATCCCTGTCCCCGTCTTCCTCGTGAAATAAATTAACGTTAATCTTACCCGCTAAAAACATGTTAGCTGCTAATCTGAGGCCTGCTAGTCCGCTTGATTGAACGCTGCAGTTCATCTCCGTCCTCAGTCTCCATCAAAGTTGTTAAAAAAACACAACTAGTTGAGTTTACGTCCTTGTCTCTTAGTGCAGCCGACCACGCAGCAAGCTAAAACCATTTTACTGTCAAATCAACTAAATAAAAGCCATAAAAGGCTACAAACTGGCTTGTTTTGACTACCTTCACTGGAGTTTCAACGGGTGTAAACCGTCTTTTGCCGTCCATCATGGTGAAGGGGGCGGTCACATGAGTGGTGTGACGTCACGTGCAAGCCGAGAAGCTCAGATATCCAGGAGGAGCTCATAGTAGAGCCGATGATCCTCCAACAGCAGCTCTTTCTTGCACGTGAGAGTTGTCTCTGGTCTAATTTGTCTGCTTATGACATCACAAATGAGAATTATTTGAAACTGCTTGTTTTAGACACAAAATTCCTAAAAACAGTCCCTGACACAAAACAGATGACTGTTTTAGTTCACATTTGGAATGTTGCTAGAAGGAGTAGAGACCCACAACGCAGCACAAAAACATGCAAAAGGTGAGTTTTGCGTAATATGGAAATATTCCTGTATAACTGTCATGTTGCTTTGGTATTAGAGCTCAGAGGCAACGAGTGCAAAAGGATTTCTCCAGAGGAAGTTGTCTACAATAAGTAAGATGTTTAAAACAAAAACAAGCTTTGAATTAGCTGGAAAACTCCCTTTGATCTTGTCATGGGCATCCCAGAGGATGATACGACACTGAGTCTAACAAGGAAGAAAAACAACACTTTCAGATCTTATCAGGACAGGTGAGGTTTTCATTTATAAGAAATGAGTGGCGTTATTTAGGGATCAGGTCACGTGTCACTTTTATAGTAGTTTAAAGCAGCAACAATATAGTAGATTCTGCAGCTTTGAAAAGACAAAATAAATGGGCGACATTGGCCGGCGTACCTGCAGCACGTTGATAAGCACGCCTGAGAGTTCAGCAGCAACTTCATCGGCTGCTGAAATATAGAAAAGTCTCTACAGCAGATTTGTAATTAAGCCTCTCGCTCTCTTTTTGATAGAAACAGCAAATGATTGAATATTTTTATGAGTAAGACGCAGCATCTCTCTGGTCCAGTTGTAGGAAAAAGAAAACCGCAGCTGTTTTTCCTGACTTAGGGGGTGTTGACACTATCAGGAATCAACAGGAAAACACAGGAACGTCAGTTCTTTTTGGATTAAAAGGTTGAGTAAAAACTAAAGTATGATCATTTATTCACCAGAACAAAGAGGAAACGCTGTCAAGCTTCAGGAAAAACAGAATGTATTTTATTTTGTTTGTCCTTTTGTTTTAATGTCTATTCAGCTATTTTCTTTAATCATCCTTCTCTGCCTCCTCCATTTTTCTTTCCCTACTGCCTTTTTTGTCCATCCAATCTATTTTTATTTTCCTTCCCCTGCACTCGTTTTCTTCAATTTTGATAAATCACTCATTTTTCTCCCTTGGTTTATTTCTGCAACTTTCTAAGCTTTAATTCCCTCCATTTCCCGTCCTTTCCATTCTCTCCTCTCTGCTATCATTTCATTGATTCATTTTCACTTTTCACTGATAGTTTTGGGAGTTTTTATTACCGCCCTCCATTTCCTTTTCTTTTAGTCATCAGGACACGATGATCTTTTAGTTACCTGAGAGTTTTGCGAACCATATCCTCGTCGGTGATGCCGTAGTAGGTCAGGGTCTCGTTCCAGACGGGGTTGAGTGTGTTGTGCAGGGTCTTGGTTCTAAGTTTATTGGCCTGGAACACAGACACATTTGTTTTTTTTAGCAAAAATAATGAGTCATTCCTCTGAAAGCTCAGCGTTTTCGTCTGATGGTTAATGTGCAAACAACTTAACCGTTTAAGTGCCAAAGTTGCAATATTGCGACAAGCACCAATGCTGACTTTAACAAGCCACAGCTACAACTATGATCCCTCATGAAGTTACTACTTTACACTAGAGGATAGTGGAGATGTGTAACTTCGGGCTGAGCAACACTTATGGGTGTGTTTAAATTGAAAGTTTTGGAGTTTTTGGAGTTTGAGAAACGCCTCCCACCAAGAGGTTCCCAGTCGGGGAGAGAAGAAGAAGAAGAAGAAGAAGAAGAAGAAGAAGAAGATATCATTTCTATAGCACCTCTCAAGATAAAAATCACGAGGCGCTTCACAAAAACAAAAAATGTAAAAATATAAAAAAGCACTTAGAAAATAGTTAAAAATATATTTAAAATGAGCAAAAATAGACAATTGTGATTAAAAAATGTTAAGAAAGAGAGAGAGTGAATAGGAAAGAGGGAAATCAGTGGATCCTGAGGAAGGTGGAATAGGTGGGGAGAGCAGAATAAAGAGAGAGTGGTGAAGAAGGTCATACAAAAGCCAGCTTGAACAAGTGAGTCTTCAGCTGTTTTTAAAGGAGTCCACTGATCTCAGGCTCAGGGGGAGAGAGTTCCAGAGTCTGGGGGCCACAGCAGCAAATGATCTGTCACCTTTGACCTTTAGCCTGGTGCTGCACAACCAGTAGGCTTTGATCACTGGACCTCAGGGACCTGCTGGGGGTGTAGGGACTACGAAGATCACCAATGTAAGATGGTGCTTGTCCATGTAAGGCCCTATAGACCAGAACCAGGATCTTGAAATGAACCCTGAAGTTGACTGGCAGCCAATGAAGCTGGAGGAGAAGCGGGGTGATGTGGGTGTGTTTGGAGGACTTGGTCAGAAGCCGAGCACAGGCATTCTGAACCACCTGTAGACGGTTCAGGGAGGTTCTACTCAGACACGTGAAAAGAGAGTTACAGTAGTCTAAGCGTGAGGAGATGAAGGTGTGGAGAACTGTCTCACGTTCAGAGCGGGACAGAATGGGACTCGGCTTAGCAACGTTCCTGAGATGGAAGAAGGAAGAGCGAACAAGAGAACTGACATGAGAATCCAGGGTGAGAGCTGGGTCAAGGGTCACACCAAGATTCCTGACAGAAGGTTTGGTGTGAGAAGCAAGCTGACAAAGACAGTCTCTGACTTTGGGAATCAGCTTGTCTGGAGGTGAGCGCAGCACAAAGAGGGCGAACATTAGAGGAATAAAACTCACAGTTGCCGGCAGGTCTGGTTGTTGTTGACTTATCTCTTTGTCTGGTCATGACTGACTCTGATTATGAAGCAGAATATTGACTCTCTGATGATGAAATTACTTATCCAGCTGGAAAGATTGATGCTGCGCGCTGCGGCAGCATCAGCCAGCTGGTGCTGCGCTTACAAGCTCCAAACGTTGGGTTTGACACTTGTTTCACCGTCTTTTGGACATGATGGATGTAGAAATGATGAAAAACACACAGCTAATGTAACAGACGTAGCTGCAATGTAAATATAAGCCATGAAAAGCAGCAGACGCCAATGCGTTATATATGGAAGTCATAGTGTGCCACATAATCATAAAAATTAAATTCTAACATTAAATTAAAATTAAAAAGGAGCTTTATATACTTATATAAAAACAAAAAAATTCTAAATATAATGGAAATTTCTAAATAATATGCGATAAGACGGAACATCTGTAAAAATGATGCATTCCAATACGGCAGTCTGATCTCTTCACAGTATGCTAATTACATGAGTGAATTTGCTCCCAACACAAACTTTGGGTCCTAATGAAGATTTTTTGCATCTACAGTTTACCTTTATCTCTAACCATTTCCAAGCTACAACCTTTTAAATCAGTCATGCCAAAATTGAATATTTTCTTAAAAAAAAACTCTGGTGCCCAAAGGGTTAAAGGTCTCATTCACTGTATTTATTTATTATTATTATTATTTTAGTTTTTTTTTTTTTTTTTTCAAAAAATCGGCTGTGGTCTCTAGTATAACGCATTGTGAGTCATTTTCTGTGGAAAAATGTTCCGGCACTCCTGTTTCTGGAAATACAAGGTAGCTGGGGTGGGGGATAACAGTATTTGGAGTGATGCTCATTAATATTCATGATATGCAAATGCCCACCCCTGACTGACTTCCATTGCCTCCGTTTGCTCTTCTTTCCTGGGTAAAATGTTAAACGTTTTTGTTTTATCCCTACTAATAACACAGGCTGAATGTGTGCTGCCATGGTGGAGTTGCTAACGCTAATCTGATCATGTATAAACAATAGAGTCACTTCCCGCTTCCTGTTCTCAAGTCCCGCGTGATGTTGTGACTTTCGCGCAACTTTCCAAGAAGCGCTCAGCGGCGCGTCCTGACTTGACTTCTGCGGCGCTGTGCGTCCGCCTCCGGTGTGCCCAGGCTTTCGACACGCCAAGATGCTGTAAGTTTGATTTCTCTTCAGAATTTCTGCCTGATTCTCCAAACTGAGATCACTCTGGCTGCTGTCTGCTGCAGGTAACATGCTGACTACTGTAGCAGCTCCACACAAACCCACTCTTTTCAGAATGGTGCAGCTGCAGAAACACCTTTTTGTTTCATAAGCTCTTGTTAGAAGTTATTGAGTGGCTTGGAGGCAGGGGGGTGAGGAAGAGAACTAAATTTCCATGCGGTGACATTAAGTGACTTCAAGGCCCGTTTGTCAGTAAATCAGACTGAAGCCAGTAGATGTTAAGGTGCAGTGGGATTTCATTTAAAACAGGAAGTGTTGAAGTCCTGAATGGTCTGAAATTTACTTCCTTTAACTGGACTGATGAAAGAAACAGGACTTAAATAAATAATGAGCGTATCTGTAGCTTCTCTTCACCCCCAGCAGCAGCTACAAATGAGCAACTAGTGTCATTATGACTTCACGCTGCAGAGGCTAAAAAGGCTCTGCTCTCCAGCCAATGATTACACACATTTCCCCTTTGACTCCTAGTTCCTGGCTCTAACTGGCCATAGTTTTAACGGCCCTCGTACCTGAGCTGGACGGAGCTCTAATGAGCCTGACAGGGAGAAACGTGTAGGAGGAAGAATGCTGCGTTTTGAAAGAGAAGCTGCACAAATGCACCATCCTCTACAACATAAAGCATCTTAAAAGGCATTTTAATTAGATTTAATTCACTAAGTTCTTTTAATGTTGCAGAGACAACAAAAAAGCAAAACCGCTTCATTTTAGTCATTTAGATATAAAAGAGCTACATTTTCTAATGGAAACAAGCTTTTCTTCTCTAACGTACTTAAGAGTCAAAATAAATAAAGCTAATTTATCTTCATGACAAAGCTTCCTCAGCAGGTCGTCTTCTGGCCAAGATATGACGTGTAGAATATTATCATTATTAATTTTACCATCAGTGCTCTTTAAGATGCTTCTATATTTTGGATATTTGAATTAGCATTTAGGAGATTCTGGAGGAACGGAAACAGTAAAACATTCCCGAATTACATTAATTTGCCATTTAGTATAAATTATAGTATCCCTGTTAGAAGTTGCCTTCTTTATAATTTGCAGTTATTCATGTTGTGGCCTTGTGGCAGTAATAATATTAATAATATCGAAGTAAAACGTAATTTGCAAAAACTATTGGTTGATTGAAGATCTTGGCTTTACGAGGTAATTGCGGCGGCGACGTATCTTTCTGCGCCCACTCACCCTCAGGTCTCCATCCTACAGTATTTATTTCCTGTCGAGTCCGACAGTTTAATCTTGAACAATTAAGGGTATTTCATCGAGGCTGATTGTAGTTTGAGAAGTGATGAAGCGGTGATCCGGCTTTGCGGCGGAGCGTGAAACTTCACTTGTGATTTGGGTGCAGCAGAACTCATGACCTCTTTAGCGAGCCTTAATGAGGCTCTTAGAGCGAGCCTAATGGCTGTTCTAAGGAGGAGCTGACAGAGAGCACCGGGGAGGCGACGGCATCCTGTTTTGCCTCCAGCAAGGCCTCACGCTGAGATGGGAGACAAATCCAAAAGGCAGCAGGCCTTCAGGGAGAGGTTTATTGAACTTGCTAGTCACAGAAGCCATGACAACTCATATTTATTCCAGTTAAGCTGTAAGGTTGCAACGTCTTAGCTCTGACAACCACCATGATGTAGAAAAGCGGAAAATTCTCATGTAAATTAAATATAACAGGAGAGATTAAAACACCTGTCACAGAAACAGCAAAACAATCATTTCATTGCAAAAACTTAAAAAGAACCTTAAAATTTGCTTTTAAAGTGAAGTTTTTTTTTGTTTAATGTGGATCCAGATGCTGTTGCTATGACGGCCACTTACAGAAGATGTTCCGCTTTATCAGCAGGGAAAGAAAACGAGCTGCAGGGAGTCATACTAAACCAAATGTGAACATCTTGACCTTTAGTATTAAAACGGACAAAAACAGATTGTTTATTTGTGAGTGAAGCAGAAGGTCGTGTTTCCCGTGGGTTCGCCACGTATCGCTCATGATACAGCTTATTCCCAGACATCCTTCAAGCTGTTTTAACACTGCATCAGGTAAGAATCAGAAATCTGCTGGAAATACTTCAAGTATTTTTGCATTTCTAGGAGAATACATGTGTGCTGAAAAGCCAACGTCTGGGTTTTAAAGTCTGCGTGATGGTTCGGGTGACATTTGAACACATCGGCTTCATTTTCAACCCAGAAAATCTTTCTGGAGGTTTATTTTTGTCTCTGATGAAAAGAATTTAGTTTATCCTCATGATCAGTTTTATTCTGAGTAAACGGTTGCATGTGTGCAAAAACACACAGATTCTTCTCTGTCTGAATGTAACTGCAGGATGAGATGAAAACAGGCAACATTCTGCATCCTGTTGCTCAGATTTTTGTTATTCCAGATTCCAATTATCCCACATGTTCTGTACAGTTGGCAGATT